ATACATAATAAGGGACAGGACTCTGAAGTGCATTGGAAGCTATTGCATGGAAGTGTCAAGCTTGAAACCTGGACTGGCCAGAGGATGGATGGAGCAGATTGGCGTTATCCAGAAAAGACACAACAGCTGTTTAATGATTGGATAAGAATTAGAAAAAAAATCTCACAATTTGCCAAGATGGACCAAATGTTGTGACATACTGAATGCTGACAAGGCAAGCTCTGATTGGTGTTTCCACTACCAACTCACTCCATTTTGTTAAAGGGAAAACTTTTGTGGTGTAAGAATTTTCTATCCTCGGGCTCAATGTAAACACTTCCTTCCATCTTCCTTTCTAATTGGAATTAAATCAAAGGCCTATGAGCTGTGCAGAAGAGGGCTAACCACTTTGCAAATCAGTTCATAAATACATCTGCTCCAGCCTTGAAATGCGAAATGGATGGAACAGTATGGCAAATATCCCAATAAAAGAACTGTAATTGAAGGGCCAAAACTGCACACAATGCCTTGAAAACTATTTTCTTTTTTCAAATTAAAATTGCATGTTTGCACATTCTGAGTCCATTTGGTTGTTTGACTATTTTTATGGTGTCATGAGGCTCCAAGGCCATGATGCACAAGCTTCGCTAGAATGAGCTCAGAGAAATAAGCCACAGATATCCACAGAGGCCCTTAATATTCCTCTGCCTGTCTTCCTTGGCTCTCACACCTACGCTCACCGAGCTTCCCCAGTCCCTCTCCCCCACCAGGGAATCCAGGGGTAACTTGTTTCTAAAATGGGAAATACGTGAATGTCCTTGGACAGTTCCCCTTTTATCTCTCCTTCAAGGTCTATCCTGGGGAATGTAATATAATCATTTTTTCCCTTTTATATGAACTAAACTTTTAATCTCCAAGCCCTATCACTCATAGCCATTGGGCAGCGACACCCCCAGGTCCTGGCTTGTGGCAGCCCATTGTAATGGGATACTTTCCCTAGATCCCGTTTTCTCCGGCTGCTGGACAATGGGCCTCAGCTGTTCACCATCTTTGAGAACTGCTTCAGTTTGTAGAAGGTGCCTGGCCAAAGTCATGTGTACCTCTAGCAGCCTGATTAACGCAGGGTAGGGACCTGGCGATCTCACCACTGCCCTGACACCCAAACTCAGCACAGCTCTCGGGGATTCGCTCAGGTTTTCTCATGGGATCTGTTAAGGCCTTTGTGGAGATAGCACCTCCATATCCCCTCCCCCCCCCCCCCCCCCAGTTCCTATGTTGAAATCCTAATCCCTAAAGTGATGGTTTTAGGGGCTGGCCTTCGGAAGCCCATGGGTCTTGAAATTCTCAGCTTCCAGAACTGTTAAGAAATACATGTTGTTTATAAGTTACCCAGTATAAGGCATTTTGTTACAGCAGCCCAGGCAGTTTGAGAAATCTGGGCTCTGTCTCCACTCATTCTGTGTTCTGTCACCTTCTTCTGTGAGTGTCCTTCCCAAGAGCTTTCTTTCCTGTGTGGCTTCCATCTCAGAATCTGCTTCTTGGAACCTGGCCTGTGCCATGCGCTCAGCCCTCTAGTGCCCCCTTCTGGTCATATCAGGTCTGGTCTGCATCTGACCAGAGCTTAACCAGAGACCCAGTCTGCTGCTACAGGGCTGGGCTTCCTGCCTGAACCAACACGCTAGAATAATCTACACCACCACAACCACCCTGGTGAGGACAAGCCCCAGCCTGCTCAGTGGTGTTGAGCATGTTACCTATGCACAAGGTCCTGGCTGCTGGCCAAGGACATGGTGGAGCTCTGCTCTAGCCTCTCTGCACTAAGCAGCATCAGTTTCAAGCTCCTTTCCTGGGCTGACTATGCGCCAGACTAGGCCATGCTGCTACTACCTTTTGCCTTTGAAGAGAGTACCTCAATCTCTCATTGGGTTGAAAAGCACATCTCTCCATCAAAACCAACTCAAAGTCCACTTCCTGAATACAATTTTCCCATCCTGACTCTTTATTCTCAAAAAGGGACAAATGAACAGTCTGTTGAGTGTGACTTCAGCCCTCGTAACTTGCAGAGCAGAGCACTGACTAGACAATCAGTGGGTAAGGGCTCATTGCTATGGTGATAGGTGGGTCTTCCATGCATAAGGCATATTCTTGGGGACAAACCAATGTGAAATAGCAAAGAGCTGTGGGGCACATCAGGCACTGTGCTAATTATGGCAGGGATATGAGACAAAAGAAGATACAAACCCTTTCCAAAATGGCCCACAAAATCCCAGCCATTAGAGATGTTTTATGTGGGAGATGAAGACAAGACATCCACAAGGAATACAGTATCTACCAGGAAGCAGGTGTCCTGAGCAACCCAAGTGTATATCTCCCCTTGAATAGTCAACACAACAATCTGACCGAGAAGAAAACAAAATAGCTGTAGAGTAGGCATGAATAGCTGCTATGGTACAGTATAGAGTTTTGTCCTGGATTCACTCACTGGATACAACTGACAGAGGGAAATATAATCTTCCTAATAATAACAGGGATAAATATGAAATAATAAAATCTCCAAAATTTAAAGAAAAATCAACAGCATAGGAAAAGTATTTTATGAGGAAATTTAGCATCCAAGCAGAACAAGACCCACCTCTGATGACAGACACATGTATAAAAATCCCAAGTGAATCCTTTAAAGAGTGCACATAGTTAGTGACAAGCTAGAACGCAAGTTAAGATTAGAGTTTTAATTAATGGCAGAGTCAAAATTAAGAGTAGTAGTCTGCTATTAAGAATAAAAAGGTAACAACTAACCTGCAAAGCTGACAAGATTGTCAGCCATGTTAAAATAAGTGCAGTGTTCAAGTCAAAAGCCATAAGAGGCTCTCTGTATTGGCAAGGCTAGATTTATGGGTCCATGTGTCAAAATGGCTATCCCATTTTAAGAGGAACATTAGCATCCATCAATAGGAGATTGGTTAAATAAATTACAGTAATCCACACAATGGAAACCAGGCAGCTATTAAAATGATGATGTGTAGCTGCTTTTATTGACATGGAGAGATGTCTATGACAAGTTAGTTAATGAGGAAAGCAAGTAGGTTCCTGAGTGGCTTGTATAATCCGATCCAGGTAATACAAAGTCATGGATCCATATGTTTTAATGTTTCTAAAATGCTTAAATCAGTACTAGAGATGGCTCAATCAGTAAGGTGTTTGAGGACCTGGATTCAATACCTGGAGTCCACCTGATGAAAGATCTTGCTCCTGCAGACTGTCTTCTGACTTCCATGTGCATGCCAGAGCACCGTGTGAGCACACACAGTGCTCACAGTCACACAGTCAATTAAAAAAAAAAGCAAATGAAGGAAATTATAATGATTATTGCCAAGCTAAAATCGTAGGACACAGAGATAGGTCGGATGACATAGAAGGATTCAGTAGGAGGTGGAGGTGTGGAGAGAAAGGAAAGGGGAATGTCTACATGGTTGTCCGTGCTTAGCAACATCCAAGCTTCCCCTCCACCTAGCCAGGAAGGGGAAAGCTAAGTCACTTTTGCCAGGCATATGTGCAGCCATTACAAACCAGTCATCAGCCTCCATGATTGGAATGCAGAAGCTTAGCCTTGGGAGGTTAGACATCCTCATCACGGTTGGGGGCAGGCATGCTCTTGTCTGGAGTTCTGGAGGAGAACCTCCTCACTGTGGGCATTCCTTGGCTTTCACCACACTGCTCTTTGATAGCAGCACGTTTCTAGTCTCTATCTCAGTCTTCACACGGCCTTTGCCCGTGTCTGACCCACTCTCCCTCTACCTGCATCCTATAAGAGTGCTCGTTCAAAAGACGTAGGTTTGAATAATTCAGGACAATATCTTCTCAAGATCCTTAATTACAAAAAAAAAATGACTTTTTCCCAAACAAAGTTCCATTGCAGGTCCTGGGTGTGCAAACCTTTAGGGGGCACATAGTACATCATTGCACCCACTATAAGTGGCTGAGGTGACAGTGCGGTAGACATGAAGTATCGTCTTCCTAGATGTCTGTGTAATGAGTGGGAACAAGAGAAGTCAGGCAGAGAACCATGGGACATGTCCAGATCAAGATCTAACTAATTGCTTGTATCAGTAGTTCCCACTAGACAATGCATTAACAGTAGGATTGTTACCTCTGGCTTCATAAAAATGAGACACTGGATTATAAATTAATACTTGTTGCTATGGTAGAGACAGAATCTCACTATGTAGCCCCAGCTGTCCTGGAACTCAGAGTATAATATAGGCAGACTTTCAACTCATGATCCTCCTCAGCCTCCTGAGTGCTTGTATTACAGATATGAGCACTTAGCCTGGCTTTAAATGATACCTTTTATGTAAAAAGTAAACACACACACACACACACACACACACACAAACCAAGCACAGGTGTATGTACCTACCACATAGATGGATAGACAGTGTATTTATGGCGTTATGTTTTTATGGAGTAGAGATGTAATTACGAGGAGAAAAACAATAAGGCTCACTTAAAGAATAATAATAAAAAAGCTGAGGAACAGTGAAGTAGCCCAGAACCCCCCACAACAGCAAGAACCCTGTGTAGTCAGCACAAGGTAGGCAAAGGGTTCAGCAAGTGCTGATTCAGTAATTAAGTAAATGGCTGAAATTTCAGGGAGACGGACTGGGCCCTTTGCCAAGTAAGCACTAGGTCAGCCTGCAACGAAGTGAGCAGCCCATCTTCCAGCACTCAGGCAGAAGCAGAGACGAGAAGTTTCCCCAGGAGTATGCCAGGACTTGTGCAGAAGTATTTGTTCTGTTCTATCAGTGCATGACACACAAATGTCACTGTACCATGAACATTCCTGGACATCGGTCTAGCTGCTTTGTTGTTTAGACGACCCAATCCAACCATTTGCAACTCTGAATGTCTCTCAGCAATCACTCTAGACTTTCTACTACTATGGGTTGGAAAATAGCTCAGTCAGGCAGTAAAGTGCTTATCATGCCAGCACTCTTTAAAAACCAAACAGTTTCTTTCTCTAGGGCGGTCACACAGGCAGTGGCTGTGTGAAGCCGGGCTCAGGCAACATATACTACAAATTTAGTGGCTTCACACAGAAGTTGGCTGGAGCTTGGGCCTCAGAAGCCTATAGTCTGCAGGGGTTAAAGCTGGTGGTTTCCACAGAAGCACTGGCTATCATATTTGTCACACCAACTAAACTGACCTCCAGTGTGACAGCAAATGACTATGCTTGGAAGAACAAAGTTCTAGAGCTGCAGAAATTTTTCCAGAAGGCTGACTGTGTGTCCACCCACCTGAAACAAAGCCTTCCTGACCAAATACTTTACCGGACCACCATGACACTGACTGTGGGAGGGACCATCTACTGCCTGGTTGCCCTCTACATGGCTTCCCAGCCCACAAATAAATGAATTAGCCTGTGAAACAAACAAACAAACAAACAGACAGACAGGCTTGTGACACAAGTTTAAAATCCCAGTGCTAGGGAGGCAGAGACAGGGGGATCCCTAGAACTCCATGGCCAGCCAGCCTAGCCTACTTAGCAAGTTCCAATCCAAGTGACAGACCTTATCGCAAAAGAAAGGGGGGGCGCCTACAGTACCTGAAGAACCACACACACAGAGGGGGGGGTTATTGCTGTCCTGTCAACCCATCCTTAGCTGGGGATTGTCATATCATACATAGTGCCTGTTTTGTTTGTTTATTTTTGCTCTTTTGCCTGCACTATCTTGTTTGAAAGGAGGCTAGGAGTACTAAAAATTAAGTGAGTTATCAAACACTGTGAGTCTTGGGTAATTCCTACTTTACTTTCAGTCTGTTGTCAACAGTATTTCTAGTCTGGTCCAGTTACAAAGCTTGATGAGGTTTAATAACATTAGAGATCAACGGTCCCACTGGAAAAACAAATTAAACATGCAAAACAGGGGCAAAAATTAAGCCTCGTGTTTACATAGGAGATGGTTTAACCTTCTCCTCAATTGCATAGGAACTGGGTAAAATGGCAAGATAATTGATCAAAGGGCTATAAATCTGAATCACTTAAAGTAGCTGGTGTTTCATCAACAATGTGTGATGCCAAGGAAACCTTCACAACAGGAAATATCAGACTCAAGCAAGAGGCTGACTGTGATAAGTCTACCTTTTGCATTTAACACAATGATTTACAGATGTCCTCAGAAACCTGTGAGCAAGCGAGGCCATCATGGGCCACACTCACTCTTCAGTGGCCCTAACTTCACAGGTACTCGAGGGAGGTCCCACAGCACTGCTCTGCTGTGGCCCAGTCAGGGGACATGGCAGGAAATGTGTTTCATGATATTATATCCTGAAGACACAACAACTCAACAAAGCCATCATTTATACTGTGTGGCTCACACAGTATAGAGCCACAGGGAAGCACTGGCCTGACAAATTGTGAGCCCTATTCTGAAGATACGTCAGGAGAATTTATGCCGCCCTCTCCTGTTAGCACCGTGCGGTGCCAAGAGTAGAAATGGCCACATGAGGGAGGGGGTAGAGGGGCTGAAATTCTATCATTGGCAAAGAGGCCACCTTTTATGGCTCTGACTGTATATGAAACATCTTACTCTAGGGAACCTTTTTCAGAGAGAGACAGAGACAGAGAGTCAGGGCAAGGGGCAGCGTTAAACAAGTTGGCAACAAGTCAAAATTGCCGCGGTTCCGATTTTTATGAATGTTTGACATTGAATCTGGGTCTGTTTTCTCGGTGCAGGATCTTTGGGCAGGGAGCCAGCCCCAGAGGAACAGATTTAATCCAAAGACTCTGCTCCCAGTGCCATTCCACACGGGCTGGAAGGCACTGCATTGTGAGGGTGAACTCGGGAAACTTGTAGAAATGCAATCACCAGCAGATCCCCTAGTGTGTGGCCCAGCACCAACACAATTATAACCTGATCTACAGTAAGGAAGAGACAATAATGCAGGGACAGGTGGCTTCAGCCAACAGATATGGAAGTTGTTATTGTTCCGTGAGATGAGAATGGTCACTCCTTTTTAGAGAGAAGTTGCCTGGTATGTTGACTCCAAATAATGGCTCAGAGAGCTGCAGGAATCACTGTTTCCCCCGAGTGGTGACTGTCACAGGTAGGTCACCACTGCTCACAGATGCCTGTCACTCACAATAGCTGAAGAACAAGGAGGACACATCTCTAAGTTCAAGTGCAAGTCATATTATGGCTTTACCAGAAATGTATTTGCATATAGTTATCCTGGAATATTATCACAAGATATTTAAGAGTGTCGTCTGCCCCCAATATCCTAAAAGGTGTTTTCTTTTATTTTTTCAAAGGATGGCATATCACAGCTGAATCATACCAGGAGCTTGTGAAAATTTCCAATGCCTAACCCCTTCCTAAACACATCAGCCCAACCCCTGAAGCAATGAGCATTCAGGACACTCCCCCTAGATGCTTAATTTTGAGACAATATTGAGAACAACTCCCCCAAAGTAAAGTGCCTCCTAACGGTGAGAGCTGGATCCACCTCAGCTTGGAAGTGTCTCTGCAGATAGTAAGTACTTGGCAAATACCACTCTTCTGTTATTGCTGATTAGGCTGAACACTCAAAAGGCTTTTGACAGCCAGGCAATCCTAATGGAAAAGAGGAGAAACAAATGAAAATTTGGCCACGCCTTAAAAATACACAGCGTTTACTCATTGACTCATACATGTCCTTTAAAAGCTGTTTTCTTGTCAAGGATATTCGAAACTCTTTGAGAGTGAGATCTGTCTGCCCCTCACCCAAAAAAAACGACAAATGAAATGTACTTGAACCCCTTTTGTGTTTGGGAGTGCCTTGATTGCTCTGTGGCTCTCAGTTCTTTCCTGTAGTCAACCACAGGCAGGATGTACAAAGAGAAAAGTTTATCAGTTGGATTTTACTAAAAGAAAGGCTGAGGCAAGGGAGCCTTCACACCAAGATGAAGTAGCTATGGAAAGCTACCACCCACACAACGTGTCTTCCTCCCTTATAGTCCTCAGGGCTCACTGGATGCAGGAGATGTCTCGCTGGTTTTCAGGGAACCCTAAAAGCAGACAGAGGACAGTCCACAGGTGGGAAGAGTGCCACAGATGTTGAAACAGTATGCCTCCAAACACGAACATCTACTTTGATATTTTGATCTCTCAGGGATTATGAGAACAGATGATACTCTTAATACAGGATCTAAACAAAACCAAACTTTCTCTTTTAAGGGAAATGCAATATAAACCCATATATGTCCAAACTGGTTCTCAAAGAACACTCTTATCTGCCCAAGTACGACTCACAAACAATTTTCATACCTCTGATTGCATTTTCTTTCTCAGGAGGAGGTGTGAAAACTATTTCACTGAAATTTTGAGAACTCTGTTTACAGATGTTAAAAGTATTGGAAAAATACTTGCACCAAGCCCTTTCAGCAGGGTGTGTGGTCACAGTGACGAGAAAAATGGAAGAAGGAATGAAAAGCTCCCGGGGGATCCAATTGCAAGGGCAACAGAAATGTCAGATCATGGCAGACCTGGGAAGAGTCGAGACAAACAAGAGATGCCGGTGATAAATGCTGTCCAAACACAGGCTGCAGTGATACAAAAATTACATGCTAGCAAACTTTCAGTTCTCGTCATCATTTGTTACCAAAACCCACTGTGTCCAGGGAGCCCTACTGGCATGCAGGTAAACATTGGGTCTAGATAGTTCAGTCCCCTTTTCTTCAAAGCAGCCCATTGTGTTTCACTGCAGTGTATAAATCAGGTCATCACGTTGTTCTGAGGTACGTGACAAAATGCAGATTCTTGGATTTGAAATATTTCTTGGAGCCAAAATTTATAACTCTTGAGTAAGGCTAATGCATAGCATACTTGGAAGAAATAAGCATAGCTTGCCTGGCTATGTGTCCACTCTGTGTTTTAGAATCAAAGCCAGATACAATTGGCTGAGTACAGTGCCTGTGTGTTCGTCTGTTTCTACCTACCTGGGACTTTACTTAATTGCACGGAGACATAAAGGGGTGTGGATGAAAAGTTTATAGTGCACACATGAAGAAGCATGTGGGATGGAGATGGACAGAGACGTTTACAGTCCACACTAATGAGAGTTTATGAACTGAAGAAAGGTGAATCTTATATCTCATATCATCAGAAGCCTTTGGAATGGTTTGGCTAATATTTTAATAGCTCTCTGGCTACTGTGTAGAGAAAGGATTATAAGGGAACAACAGAAGCAAATATATTAGTCAGGAAGGTCACTGTAGTTGTTAAGACTAAAGAAAATGATGACATGTCTGACAGAGATAGTATTAGAAATGGAAGAAATGGACATTTTAGGTATGCGTTCAGATCAGAGGTTTACTGATTTGTCGTGAAAGAATAAACAAAAGGGAAAAGCAATCTAGTTCTAGTCTTCCTCCAGCAATTAGTGGATGGCAGAGCTGCTTAGAGGTGGAATGACTGGGGATAGGGAGACAAGTTGTAGAGAAGCATAGCAGCCTCTCTGTCTGTTGATGGCAATCAAGTTCCCTATCAGACTTGTGTGGAGATAAAGACAGACAATCAGGTAAGAAGAATCAGAAATACCAGCACACGATCCACAGAGCAGGAAACCCAGATTTGGAAAGCTTGGATCAGTCATACTGAAGGCCTTAAGGTTTATGAGAACATCCAAGGGGGAAAAAAAGTTGCTTGAGAATAAAAGATGAACCAGGAATTTGCTCCAGAAACCGTCAATATTTACTCACTTTTTAGGAAGAAGGAGCCAGCTGAGGGATGAGAAGAAACAATCTGTGTGGGCAGAGGAGAATCAAGAGTATGGGGCTGTATTAAGGTGGTAATGACTTTTCTGTTGCTGTGATAAAATGCCATGGCCAAGACAAAATATAGAAGGAAGAATTTACTATGGTTCATGGCACCTGAGGGATGAGAGTCTACCGTGGCGGGGAAGCATGATAGCGCATGGCAGTCATGGTGGCAGGGACAGGGAGCTGAGTGCTCCCATCTCCAAGCAGGAAGCAGAGAGAGTGACCTGGAAATGGCACAAGGCTCTCCATCTCAGTGACATAGTTCCTCCAGCAAGGCTATACTAACTAAACTTATCCAAAGAGAGCCACCAGCTGGGGACCAAGTGTTCAAATACATGAAAAAAGGAGGACATTTTTCACTCAAATCACTATTGGTTCCATGGAAGTCCAGTTGGGGATTTAAGTTTTAAGGCATGTCAGAATGAGGATATATCATAAAAAGCCAGACCACTGAAATGGATAGCCTGGAGGGAATGGTAACATTGACTCAAAAAGTCCCAGGAGTGGGTCAGAAACTCAAGTGAGATGACTTTGGCAGAGAGTGTGAGGAAAATGCCCTGTCAGTGAGCTGTAGACAATGTTTTAAGAAGTTCTGCTGTGTACAGAAGAGAAATG